ATATATATATATATATATATATATATATATATATATATATTGAAATCAGACGAATTATAAGCTTAGTTTTTGGTGTTATTATTTTGTGCAGGTATTGTCAGACTTGGAGCGTTCGGTCTGTCGCATGGTCCATCGTCAGGTTGGTTTCTTTCCTTATTCCTCTTTCTCATCCCCTCATTATTGTGTAAACTAAGATTGAGTAGATGGAAGTATATGCAATGGGTACACTATTTATTATGACAAAGTTGTGACAAATGGATATCTATCTGCTTTTAGAGTTTCCTTGTTAGCTAGAATCTTGTATGAACATGGCCTTAATTCCACATCTGAATCACTTCTCCGTTTTTGTTTCTTACTTGTATTATGATATTACTTCCTCCGTTTCGTAATAATCGCGATACTTTATTTTTACGTATGTTTCATAACAATTGCAACACTTCCTTTTTTGGTAAGGATCCACTATTATTTTATTAATTATCTCTCTTACTAACCCTACTTTCGCAAATATTTTATTATTTCTCTCTCCTACCAACTCCACTTACATTCCCTTTTTTTTTTAACCTCTCATACTAACTATACTTTATAATATAAAAGTTTATCCACTTGCATTATTTTATTGAAGCCTATAAGCCTACCCTATATTTTTCTTGAGCTATGTGCACTCCCTACCGTTGCGATTATTACGAAAAAGAAGAAAAAATTACTCCCTCTGTTTCGTAATAATCGCAACTTTCCATTTATGTCCGTTTCATAATAATAGCAGTACTTATTTGGTAAGGACCCACTATTATTTTTATTAATTTTCTCTCCTAATAACTCCACTTTCACAAATATTTTATTTTATTTTTTTCCTACCAACCCCACTTACAGTACTTTTTTATTATTTCTCTCTCATACTAACTAAACTTTATATCATACAAAATTTGCCCACATGCATTATCTTATTGATGCCAACAAGCTTACTCTATATTTTTCTTAAACTATGTGCACTCCCTATTGTTGAGATTCTTACGAAACGTAGGGAGTAGATATTGCCTTGTGTTGTAATTTGAGGACAATTGTACAGTCATGTTTCTTTTTTCTTTTTTTTTTAATACATATCAATGTACTATATTAGTGAATATGTCTTACATTAAAAAGCGAGTCATGTTAGAATTAGCAAAAGTTTTGATTTGGATACTATATTAATTTGAATGTCGTCAAAATCTTTGATGTGGTGAACAATTATTCAAGAGCTTGGTGGACTGGCATGTAGTATACCGAAGAGAAACAAACAAACAAATATTGCATGTTTGAGTATTGTAATAAACTATAATATGTATTAGAAACTGCTTCCTCAACCGTAGACATCAAACTTTCAATTTCTGTCTTTTATTAGTTTCTTGGAAAAATCTTTTTCAGTTTAAATTTCTGGATCATGTTTTCTTGGTAACATCAAATTTTGCTGCGTTACATTGTGCTATATTGGACAGTACAGTCTTTCCCCTGTATCGTTGTTGCATGTGGTTGTTTGTTTAAAAAAAATCACCAGTCCCCATGTGTTTCCTGTATTGTTCCCTAGTTATCAATTCTTCTGTTAACTAGGTGATGGGGGGGTTCAGTACTTACACTACTCATATCATGGTTCTTTGACCTTGGGTCTGTCAGCTGTAATTGCTACCTACTGTTCCTTGGCTTAGTAATAGACTAATAGCTATATATCTCTTACTGTAAATGGTGTTTGATTGTTATTGGTGTAGGTTGCTACTATTGCATGGTTTGAAGCTGATTCTGTATGTGGCAGTCACTCTGTTGCAATTCCAGTGGTTCTTGTTCTACCATATATTTTTCGGCTATTCCAATGCCTTCGTCAATACAAGGACACTGGAGAGAAATCAAGCCTCTTGAATGGTAAGAGGATAATCATTAGATGCATTGCTTCTTACAAGCATTTGCCAAGACTATAATAATTTTTACATCATTTAAAAAACTCGAAATTGCTTTAAAATAAGACCAATTATCATATCCTTTTATCTAATTAATTTTAAATATTATAAAGATATTGTAGTAGTAATATGGATATATTGTTATAAGATAAATATGAATCATGGTAGGCTCATGATTATATTACTTACAATTAGGATTTAAATGAATCCTTTGAAATTTTAGCCAAGCATAAAATATGTACATAAAATTGCAGAGTATGATTGTATGAGTACATAACAAATTAACTAATGTATTATACAACCCGGGCATCGCACAGGTTTAACAACTAGTTTTCAATATCTTTTGGATAAATCATATCTGGCCAGTCTATAGTGGCTGTGTAGGTGAGGCTGCATACAACTTGATCCTATAGGTCCTCTCTGCACTTGATAATTGTTTTGTTGAATCTCTTAATATCCATAATATTGTGAACTCATTCTAATTATTTTTGTATCAGCTTTAAAATATTCCACAGCAGTACCTGTTATCTTCCTTTCAGCACTCAAATATCATGTGTTCCCAGATAAGTGGACAAGCATATATCGGCCACTCTGGTTGATGTCAAGTCTTTTAAATTCTATGTATTCCTTTTACTGGGATATTACACGAGATTGGGATATGAGGTATGTTTACGTGGCAAAATCACCTATTTTTACTGGTATCCATGATTCCATGGTTGTTTACTTTATTGTATACTTTATATTACTGTAGCTTTTATTTAATCCTCCATGTTTCTTGCTACTCGGACACTTATTTTTTCAAGTGTAAAGGTATTTTCAAATTGCCAAATTTCCAATGCTTTTCATAAGTACAGCCGTACAGGGGCTTTCTTCCAGTAGTAATTGGGAAACCATCCTCAGTTAATTTAATTTTGATGAAGTAGTGTTAATTATTAGTAGGTTTAAAACTAAAATTTAAGTATGTTACTTACACCTCCCACTTCACCCCCCCCCTCTCATCTTTTTTCTCTTCCTCCTATGTGTGGGACTATTGCATATCACTAGTTTACAACATCTACTCTCTGACTATTTCTTTCCTCACTGTTCCATCACTTCCTTGTTTGCTCACCGTTTCATTTTATCTTCTTTTTATCCTTTAGTTAAATTGAGATAGAAATTTTCCAAAAAAGAGGGCTACTCTGTAAACTAAGCAAATTAAACACTATTCAACTCACAAATAAAAAAAAAAAAAAAGGGAAAGAATATAGGGAGAACTTATTTGATTAATGGAGTAATTTTATTTGTTTATAACTCTGATTTGTTCATATAGTTTTACAATGATTTATGCATATATTGAATGTTCTCTCTTCCGTTTGCCCTCAAAGCTCACTATTTCGGGAAGAGAAGAGGAGAGAGAATCATGTTGCTAATGCTGTATTAATTCACTCTTAATTAAAGTTCTCATTAGGAGCCTAGTGCAGTAGTGCTTATTGATTGATAATTAGTGCAGAAAATGGCTAAAAAGCCTACAATTGTTTTATGGAAGAAATAGAAACATGCAAGGTAGTGGATTGATAATTAGTGAGCTTTTTTCAAGGAAACATTTCAATGCTACCAATAAGTTTAAACTTTAACTATGGATTATCACTTTTATTGATGAACTTGATATTCATCGCTAAGTCTTGTATCACATTGTGCCATTGCGGCATTGTGTAAGTAAGGAGGGCTGACTTTGGGGAGGAGCATTCGGAACTTGATATTCAATCCATAGCTGGACTAATTAATGAAAGGAGGGATATGGAGAGAGTGAAGGCTATTGAAAACAGACCTCTAGGGGAAAATATGTAGGGGAAGGGCACTATGACTAGAAAGGGGAAGAGAGTAGGTTGAAATCAAAATCTATCTTTTACATTCGAAAGAGAGTTTTTTAACATAAAATTTAATGAATGTTTTTGTAAGAAGCTTCTTAATCTTGGGAAATATATCTTGTAATGTTAAAACTATTTTTTTTGGCGAGTGGCCAACTTAAGATCCTTAGTATTGTTCCGGTCTTATCATGCTTTTGGTGGAGGATATTGTCTCTCAAACTGGAAAAAAAAAAAAAAAAAAAGACTAGGACCAAATTTTTAAAATTGGTCATATAATCATTTTGGGACTAAGGCTTTGTTGTTGTTGTTGGTTGTAAAATCATGGGCTTTGATGACCACTGTGAAGAGCTACATTCTTACTTTGCATCTAGTTGAAATATTTAACTTCTCAAATAAGAACCCATTCTTCTGGTAGTTATTTCCTCTTTCAAAGATTGTCTTATTATATATTGAAAACTGTTTATTGCTACACCTGGAATTTTGAGTGTTCATGTGATATTTCTTTTGACATTCAGCTGTTTCACTCGGATTTTCAAGTTTGGGAGACCTCATATTTGCTCATACCTTCTGCATGGACGGACTTGGGTAAATAACCCCTTTATAAACAGTTTTTACCTTTTGCAATGATACATTTAATTTTAGTAGAATATTTGTTTTGTTCATCATCGTTACCTTACCTTTCGGAATGATACATGGAATTTTCAGGTTTATTGCTGGGTGATTGGAAGCAATTTGGTTATGCGATGTACTTGGACGTACAAGCTTTCTGCCCATCTCCGACATAATTACCTTACCGTTTTTGCTATAACTGCTCTGGAGATTTTCCGTCGCTTTCAATGGGTTTTCTTTCGTGTTGAAAATGAGTGGAATAAAATGAGTGCAAAATCACACATTCAGCTATCGGAAAGTGACGATCCAAGCGAGGATTCTAAATTACTGGACTCTGGAAACTATAGTGTATGAAAATACTGGACAGAAATTTTACTTTTCTATAGTTTATGTTTATTTAATTTTTCAGGAAACAAATCTCTAGAGGTGTATATTCATCTGAATTTTGACCCATTCTTTATAAAAAAAATGAGATTATATTTCGTGCATATGACAATGTTTTATTTTTAAAACGTCAAATTGTTGAGTAACTAATTTTTTATCCTTTGGTGAAAAAATAGAGTTAATCCACTTACTGATCATGGAACATTTTTACAATTACATGCTGATTAGCTTTTTTTTTTTTTTTTTTTTTTTTTTTGGGTTCTCTACAATTAGAGTTACATGCTGATTAGCTTCCCCTCCTAGCTCTAAGCCAGCTTCAAGTATGCATCTCAGTGTCTCTAACTCAACTTAATGTCGAACCCAATTTCAAGTCCAACCCAATGTTAAACTCGGTGTCAACTCCGGTTTATGATTGTTGTTCTTTCAAGTTAACATCTTTTCAATCTTTTATTAAGTAAAGTCTATGCTCTTCCAACTCAGGAGTCAGGACAGATTGAGCTAGTAAATATGACTATACATTTCAAGAGCACCTCGATCGAATCAAGAGGGCTTGCGAATCGTATGATTAAACTCGAGGCATGATACCAACCCACCAATGATGCATCCGTTTAGCAAGGGAGAGGTGATGGATGAGGAACGTCAGTATTCACAATGATGTTTACTCGAGAAAGGATTCACAACCTTTACCGCATTATGATAATGTTGAAAGTAGTACGATTATAACGAGGCTATGAATATAATGCAATATAAGTTGTTAGGCTTAAGCACAACTAAAAGCAAAGGTAATCATGAAAACAGTCTGAGATGGTCATTCTTTGATGAGTTAGGCAAATGTTATATCTTGTGTTCTTAGGGTCAGTTCAGCTTCAATCGATTCAGTTCAATTCAGCTCCAATCAGTTTAAAATTTTCTTCTCTCATAAAATATTCATTTCAGTTCTATTCAGTTTAGTTCAGTTCTATTCATTAAATCAGAATAGACCCTTATTTCAAAACATCATCTACACATCAAATTTCCTTACATCTCTTAATATACTTAAAATATAAATAATAAATAAAATAAAATAAAATAAATGGAGTACTTAATTAGGCAAGGTGTCTACTATTGAAGATCAATTTTTCATTACATAGACCTCCATCGATAATAATAAAAAAAGAAAAAGAAAGAATGAAAGAAAAATTAACCTATTAAGGGCATATGAATCAATAATAATCATTTATTGGTACTTCAAAACCTCATGTTAGTATAATATTGCACAACATGAGGTCTAAAAGTACCAACATACACTTATTATTGTCCTAGAGGATAAGAATATACTATATAATTGTTCGTATATACTGTCTCAATCAGTATAAGTAAGTAGAGATATTTATTGGTTATTTGGTTGAGTGCGAGTGAACAATTTGTTGACGTTGAAGGTAGTAAGGACCATTAAAGCAAGAGTGACCAAAATAGAAAGACTTGAGAGCACAAGAGCAAGCGTATGAGCAACACCATTCTTCACTTGTTGCGCATACTCAATTGACGCCAATGCTAGTAACGTCATAGGAAACGAATATGCCCACCACGCTATGTTGAACTTTCTCATCGATTTGTGGAATAATGTTGGTCTACTTACCTGAAATTTCACAACCATTGTCATTAATTTTGGATCACATGCTAGAATTTAAGATATCTATAATTTTATTATTAGTCATTTTTAAAAATCAGTAGGAGAACTTTAGATTACTTTTATACTTCTAAAGGTAGAAAGAAGGTAAAAAAAAAATGTTTCTTTATACTTTATCCGATTTTTAATAATTATACTCCAAAATAGTTTGATTTGAGTTATTCACATGCTAATTTCGACCAATATTTTTATTAATATATAACTAATAATTATTATTACGGAGTATTTGATAAAATTTAAAAAACACTTACATACCAGGATTTTTTTTCATAATTTATATTGTTAGTTCATAATTTATATTGTTAGATAAAATTAATGTATATTGGGTCAAGATTACAAGCTAAGTCAACCCCAGCACAAATTTTAATGTATTTGTAGTGTTAAATTCATACAAAAATACTTAATAATACATAATAATATCACCAAATTATTTATCTATCATTTCTTATAGAGTCATAAACTCATAATTTTTTTAATAAGTAATTTTGTAATTTCATAGTTAAAGTTGACTAATTGGTTAAAACTACATGCTTATGGAGTAGCGAATAATGAAAATGAACTTTTTGAGGGACCATAATATGTCATTTTTGGGAAAAAGTCACGTACAAATTCTTCCACTTTCATGAATAATGCTTTACAGATTTGACGCTATCAATTACTTTGATATACACAAATATTTGCAGCTATTAATTAAATGTTTTAATTTGTGGGAGTACAACAATTAAGAATTATTCTCCTCGCCATCAAATTTGAATAAAAAGTACGTTCAAAATAAACATGCAAAGGTGCAAATGTGCAATGCATTTGATTTTTTAATTTACTTATTTTTTTAATTAGGCATTTTGTAGATGGATTCGATCAAAAAATACCTTACACATGTAACAAACATTATTGCTTAAATGATACCGATTAATTACAAAAAAGGGTAGGATTTTTTATTTTATTTTATTTTATTTTTAAAATTTTGCTCAACTTCAAAGTTTTTAGGTAAAATTTGATAAGACTACCTTTATTAGAATTAGATTCTATAATTATATAAATTATAAATGGTAGAAAGAATTATAAGCATATGCAAATGTACATGATCACTCAAACAATTAAAATATAGACTGAAAAGTAAAATAAACAAGTTCTTACCAAGGACATGAAGAGAAACAAGGAGAGAAAGAATAACATCTTGGAACCTTCATCAAACTTTCCATTTATAGAGCCCCAAGCTAAGCTCGCCATGCTTGGAGTCGCGATAAACAAGAAGAAAACCGGCCTTAGCATCATCGACACACCATTACTCCCTGGAAGTCTCTGATAAAGCGTAATGAACAACACCAAATAATGAGCCATTGCCAATGAGAGCAAACACAAAGCAATCTCTAACCATCCCATGTCTACGGCAGCCTTAGCAGCCACCAAATTCGCGATAATTGATAGTTGACAAGTAGGGTTTGCCACCCTTGACAATAACCTCTTTCCCTTTGTGAACCATTGTCCATAAATTTTTATGTCTAGAATGATGATTGGAAGCACAAATACCCACCAAAGTAGTCGCATATAGATGTTATCGCGCATTGGTAGGTTAAAAGGTGAGGCTTGTAGCAATAAGAGGCATGACATTGAAGGTGCAAACAAGTAGTTTACCCCTACATGGTGTAAAAACTCACCCTTAACTTTTCCAAAGTGATATATACATTTTAACGCGTAAACAAAAGATAGTGAGATTAACATGCCTAGAGCAATTGACCATAAAAGTGTACAAGCTATTGATGGTAACATGTGGAATGTAGCCAAATCGCGTAAATGATGGTGGTTGTGGCTATTTTTTATGAATTCGATTAGGTTTTTCCATAGTAATGCTTGAGCACACAAGGAAAAACTTACTCTAAAATAACCTGCATGAAATTTAACTAATATGGTATTTACAAAATACTCATAAATGTTAACTTTGGTGTTGGCATCATTATTATTTGCTAATAACAACTTTGGTTGATCTATAACAATTTCTATGACAGGTTGAGAACTTGATTTGGGTTCCATAATTGTCTATTTTTGGTGGGTATGAAATAAAAGAAAAAAAAAAAGAGAATAATGCGAGTATAATTATAAGAAATTATGGAAGTTTCACTATATTTTGTAAGGTGGTTCATGAAGTATATATAGTGAATCAAAAGCTTAATTAATTTTGTTGTGCGTGCAACTTGGGCAGATAAAGACACATGCTTTGATTATATTGTTAAAATAAAAAGAAATACAAAATAAAATACTTTCCCCGTTTCACACTAACTACATGAACTATTTTAATACACTTGCAAGTGAACTTTTTTGACCATTATCAACTTACTTATAGAGTATAAATTAAAAAACTATAGTTAGGGCCTGTTCTCATACGTTGTAATTCAGTTCAGTTCAATTCTATTCAGTTCATTCCAGCTCAATTCAGTTCAGTTTAGTTTAGCTCCTAATTTCCTTCTCTTATAAAATATTAAGTTCAGTTCAGCTGAGTTCAGTCAATAAGTACAAGCCCTTACCGTAAATACGTAAATTGTTAAATTAAGTTAAATATATCGATTACTTTCTGAGATAGAGAGTAGTAATAAGAATAGTGTAAAAAGTGAAAACGACGCAAATTTATAAAACAGGTGAAATACTCTCTCAGTTCCTATTTTTTTTGCCCCTATTGACTGTGTATGGTTTCGAAGACGCGTCTTAAAATGGAGCCGTACCAAGATAATTCCCTAGACAAAATTTGTTTATCTGGGGGTATAATTGTCTTTTTAAGTATCAGTGGAGGGGTACATACGTCTTTTCGTGTACTATTTGAGGGATACATGTAATTTTCTCACTAAACAGTAAAAACAAGTTGAAAATAGTAATTGGACAGTTCACCAAAAGTATTGAATAAATAACCACGCTTTTTCAATATATTTACAGACATGCCACTAGATTATTAAAAATTCGTTAATCGGACCGATAAACTTGTATTTGCCCCTTAAAATGTCTATATTTTTATTTTTATACATGTAAAAATTGTAAAAACGTAATATCAAAAAAGTTTTACCTAAAAAATTGCAATGGACAAAAATAAAGAGACGGAGGAAGCATAAGATAGCATATAGCAACAAATATGGTACAAATGAAATGGAATGTCTCCATGCTACTAATCCAATGTAGTGGCGGCTGATAAAGGAGGGTGCTACCCGTATTGGACTGTATTTTAGATTTATGGTGATGAATAGTTTTTTCTATGTAGCTTTACAGTTGGGATTTATTCCTTTTAGACCCTACCATATATCCACAACTTTCGTTAGAAATATAGGTCATTTCCGTCATCCTTCCAACATAATATTAGGTCACTTCCTTCTGACATAATAATAGGTCATTTCCTTCCTCCTCCGTCTCTATATTTTATTTTTACGTAAGATGAAAGATCATATATCATCGTTTGAGAGTGGAGGGGAAGGTAAAAGAATCCCTCTATTCCCATTCATTTTTGTAGTCGGTAGAGTTCGAATTCATAACCTCATAGTCACAAGGTGAGTTCCGCACCAACTCTACCAAGCATGCTCAATACGGAGAGTGTAAATTTTTTTGTAGATTTAGACGTGTGTTTAAGATGGATAAAATATGAGAAAGTTGTAAATTGCAATACTGGACATTTGGACATCAATCGGGATTTAAATAGTGCAATATCCACAAAGTTGACAGATAAAGAAGGATCTGAGGCAAATTATATACTTGCAAGTAGGGCGATTTCTTCTTTATTGTCATTTTCCAAATAGTTATTGTTGTATCAGCTTATGTAAATTTTTTTTTAAAAAAAAAATCAAAATTAATGTATTAATAATGATATCTCGATCTTTAAATATTTTATTGCCAAATTTACTTGCTAACCCACTTCATAAGTTCATAAACCCAAGTTGTCAAGTTTTACCTCTCTAACTTTCTAAATCATTGATAATTTTCAACGATTATGTTTTCAATATTGCAATTCTATTTTGGAATATTAGGTAAGAACGGTCGAATACTGGTCTAGACCGCACCCGTCACGGGAGAGTGTAATTCCATCACTTTACAAGACCAAGGAGCTTCCCATCTCAAAACTATATTGCAATGGGAGGAGTAGTCCCTTTGCCTTATATAGTGGTAGTAACTCTTAAATTCTTTCAATGTGAGATTTCATTATCACTAAACTACCCCTTTATTCTTTTAGTGTGGGGCAAGAAAATGCTCACATGTAGGTTGTTCATGGGCTCAACACTCTCCCTAACATGTGAGCCGTCCATTATTTTTTGGCCTAGTATGCTTTAGTCATTAAGACCCTAATCGTGATATCGTGAACTTGGCTTTGATACCATGTCAAATACGGGTGTGGACCGCATTCGTCACAAGAGAGTGCAAGTCCACCACTTTACAAGACCTAGGAGGTTCCACTTCAAAACCATATCACAATGAGGGAAGTAGTCCCTTAGCCTTATATAGTGGTAGTAACTCTTGAATCATTTCAATGTAGGATTTCATACCACTACACTCTTCCTTTAGTCTTTTAGTGTGGGACAAGAAAATCCTCACATGTGAGTTGTTCATGGGCTCAACAAGTACACCATTTTAGTGTTTATGAATATTTTTGACTTCTGATCCCCTCTTGACTACTACTAGAACTAAACAAAGTTTATGTATCCGTCATTACTCACTAATGCGGAGGATATACCAAAATTTGTAGATAACGGGTAAATAAGGATTTTTTTTTGAGGGAAAAAAAGGAAAATTGCTAAGTACAAATAACATTTATTAGACACCTACCAATACTGAAAATGTTTAAAAAATTTGTACTAGTATTAATTAATCACTATTGTGCTCAATTTAATATATTCTATGATAATATATTAATATAGTGTATTTGTTTTATGATTATATTGTTAACATAAGCTAATAAGGAGTCCAACATCATTAAATGGTTAAAAATTTAACTACTCGTAATTATTTTTTACATAAATAGAGGGGATTTATGGCCTGTTCTCTTACATTGAAATTTAGTTCAGTTAAGTTCAGTTCAGCTATGTTCAGTTCAGTTCAACTCCCACTAGTAGAAAATATCAAAAAGGTACCCCCTTATTGGCACCGGTTCAGTCCAAACCGGTGCCAAAAATGGCCTACAAAATTGGTGGGAAGCTGAACCAGAGTAAAAGGCACCGGTTCACTTCAAACCGGTGCCAAAATCATAAAGGCCACTGGTTTGAACCAGTGCCTTTGTGAACCGGGCCTTTAATTATTTTTAAAAAAAACCGGCCATTACTTATAACCCTAAATCACTCCGCCTCTTCTCTCTCCTCTCACTCCGCCTCTTCTTTCTCCTCTGCTCTCCCTTCTCCTCTGCTCTCCCTACTCTCTCCTCTAGATCTCCTTCATTCCCAATCTCTTCTCTTTCTCTTCGAGCATCTCCGCAACAACAACAACAACACCACCGCAACAACAACAACAACAACAATTTCTGGGTATAATTTATACGAGGTTAGGATTTAATTTGATTTTAATCGATTTTTTTAGATTTAATTTAGGGTTTAAAGTAATCAATTTTGGATTTTAATCAATTTTTCTGGGTTTATTTAATCGATTTTTGGATTTTAATTCGATTTTTGTGGGTATAATTATCCAAATTTAATGGGTTTTGTATTTTAATTCGATTTGTTCTCGTTTTTCTGGGTTTAACTTTGGGTTGATTAATCAATTTTAATTACATGCATGTGTTTTTTTTGGGTTTTTTTAATTACATGCATGTGTTTTTTTTTGGTATAATTTATACAAGGTTATGGTTTAATTTATAAGTTTAATTCGATTTTAATCGATTATGTTGGATTGAATTTAGGGTTTAAGTAATCGTTTTGGATTTTAATCGATTTTTCTGGGTTTATTTAATCAATTTTTGGATTTTAATTCGATTTTTGTGGGTATAATTATCCGAATTTAATGGGTTTTGTATTTTAATTCGATTTGTTCTCGTTTTTCTGGGTTTAATTTTGGGTTGATTAATCAATTTTAATTACATGCATGTGTTTTTTGGGTATTTTTTTTAATTACATGTATGTGTATTTTTTTTATTTTGAGTTTCTGGGTTGTTTTTTTCTTCGGGGATTTTGTATTTTTTTTCAATTTTATTTTTTTATAATTTTGTGTTTACTGGGTATAATTATCTGAATATAATCGTTTTTGTTTTTTTTTTCAATTTTCAGTTCGTGAGTTATCTTCGTCGAAAATTGATGGCCGATACTTTGCTTCTGCAATTCAGCTACTGAGCTCGTTCGTCGAATCCATTTGGTTTTTTTTGGGCAAGTGTAAAACTACCGATTATAAATTTCAATTATATTATGTGTTTCGGGGTTTTCTGATGTCCTGCGGGAGATTTACAATTCCGAGATTGGAACCGGACGCCTGTACCTGCAAAACAACGGAGACTCCTGGTGATGGGAGCTCCGCCTCCAACGGTCAAGTTAGTACTTGATTAAGGAGTAATTAATGCGGAAATTAAAGTGATTGGGTCTCTCTAGGTGAGAGTGTTTAATGTAGGTAATCTGCTTTGTTAGCGTGATCAGCCTGTTATCTCCGTGTAATCTCTATAATCCCCCCTTAATGAGGATTAAGGGAGGTATTTATAACCTTGGGAAACGTGCCAATCCTAGGTTTAGGTTAACCTAGGGCTGATTGGGCTTCCCTCGGAAGTTGGGCATGGGTGGCCGGTTTCTCCATTAGGCATGGAGTATGCCACGTGTCATGACATAATAGGTCCAAGGTGGACGAATAAGCGCGTGCCACGTGGCAAGCCCTGACAGTTCCAACTGGGGGACACTTGGCAGGACCTGATTGGTGGGAGCAAAATCCCCTAATCATTTGCCCCTCACAGGTGGCACGTGACTGGTCACGTGTTACCTGTGACAGGTGTCGAACTGTAACAGGCGACGACCTGCTACAGGTGTCACTCGGCGAAGGGCCGAGAGTTTCTCCCGCCCAAATTTTGAATTCTGGAAGTGACCCTTCGCCTTCTCACTTCGCCTATATAAAGGAGTGTTGGCTTTAGTCATTTTCACACTTGAGAACTTTGTGAGAGAACATTCGGACCCCTGAACTTGCTCTGACATTTTAGACTTTTCTGCCTACCGCCTGCTCTGACAAGCCGACTGCAAAGGATTTTCAGAACTTCATCAATCGTCACTCGTTCAGGTAACTGTCGGTTCTCTTACTCTTAATTTTTTTTTTATTTTATTCTTCTTTTTTTTTTTTGAAATGGCACCACGGAAGCACATGACACGACCTAGGTTAGTGATCAGTCGGTCACCGGGGACGGCTGAATCTAGGACAAGGAGTGCCGCCTGCCCTTTTCCGGACCTATCTTTGCCCTTTATACAAAGTCCGACTGTATCTG